ATGCTTTTGAAACGCAAAACGAAGGCCGCAGCGAGCGCCAAGGCTGTCAGAGCAATCGTGCTTGGTTGTCCAACAAGAGTGCTAAGTTGAATCGGGAAACCTTGCGTTTTGCTCTTTTGCTTCTCCTTGTTGCGACGACTAGTTTCATGCTCATGGCGTGCAAAATACATCAACATGTATCCAACAGCAGCGTGAGTCCTCGCAGGCCCCACCTGATTTCGTCTTGCGGAAGCATAATGCCGTCGGCGCCAAATTTGAAACATATAGTAGGCCCTACAACGCTTTAATGGCTTGTGTCTCTAGCTCGGAGATACACATATTGTCGTGTGGATCTCAACTACATATGAAGCACGTCACCTAAAGACCGACAAAATTTGCCCTCGACTTGGAAGGTATCAAAATTCACGGACGTTATTCCTAGAAGCTAAAAAGCACTGGAATCGATAGATCTGGACAAGAGGAAGCTGGCGTAGTGCTCAGAAACGAAATCGAGTGTGTTATGACGGAGCAGTTGACGTTCTACCACCGTGACCTTAACATAGAAATGTATGGGCTTGGAGCCCTTATTGGCCTCGGGGGTGCACGTCCCTCGTCCGGATATGACCACGGGACGCATCCGGATTGTATTAAATAGCTTGGCTTTTGTATGTACGCTATCCGGTGGTGTAGGTGGTCGTATCCGGACGGTAGGAATGGTCATGTGCACACAGCGATGCCGCCTCCGAGTCGACGTGTGAAGAACGCCCGAGCGATCCCACGGGCTGATGGCCGCTTTGCGCCAAAGGCTGCAGTGATTGAAAGCAGCCCGGGGCTGGAAGACATTGAGGATGACACGACGTTGACGGTGGCGCTCAAGCCATCATGCGTCCCGGCAAGTTCTCGGACGGCCGCGAGCAGCCAATGGTCTTCGAAGCCGGCACGGAGAACGCTGGCCAAGCCAAAGGCATCAAGCAAGTTCTTCTGGAGCGTGGCATCGACGTTGCCGCGCATGGCCTCCGGATGAAGTGCCCGAACGAGAACGTCGATGTCAGCGCCACAGACGAGGTGCTCATGTGCTGCGCGAGGCACTGCGTCGCGTCGCAACCCGACTTCCGCTCCCAGGTATCGCTCTTGGAAGAAACGATCTCCGGTGCAGGTCACCACTGCTTGTTCTTGCCCAAGTTCCACTGCGAGTTGAATCCTATCGAAGCCTACTGGGGGGCAGCCAAGCGCTACGCTCGAGCCAACTGCGACTACTCGTTCGAAGGACTCAAGACTTGCGTGCCAAAGAGCCTCGAAAGCGTCCCGCTGGCGTCGATTCGTAAGTATTTTCGTCGATGCCAACATTTTGTCGAGGCGTACCATTTGGGTTGCGACTACGAGCTGACGAAGTATGCCCACAAGAAGTACAGAAGCCACAGACGCATTCCCGGCTCGATTTTACAAGAAAAAGACGCGATAATTGCCGAAATGAAACAAAAATAGTCGGTTATCCTCGAAAAAGTTGCTTGAGATTGCTTGCTCAAAATTTGGCCGTTTGTCGGTCTTTAGGTGACGTGCTTCATATCATGCACGAAGCAAGCGCTATCCAGCTGTTCTTGCGGTCGCCTCGTTCAGATGTTTCGT